AAATTATATCCCGCACCTCCCCACCGAGGCAGGCTCAGGGCGGCTCACTATATTTATAGAATATATCTGTTAAAACACTGACATATAGTAAAACCCAAATTAATTAAAATCACAATATATAAAATTGTAGCTTCAACAAATGTTATTATCAGATGGCATCAATCTCTCAGCAATAGACGGTCACCCATCACCCTGATCCAGGCTCGTGCCAGGTTGTTGGTGCTGATGGTAATGTTAGGGCCAGGGCCAGGATGTTAAAAGTGGCACCCTACTTAAAAGCCTGGTGGAAGAGCTCCATTTTACAGGCCCTGCAGAACTGTAAAAGGTCCTGCAGGGCCCTGATGTCATCCGGGAGCTCATGCCAAACAAGTATGATAACACAGTACACAGGATCATGAAACAAACAAAAACTGCATAAATAACGCAGACCAAAGGGTGCTCGAGTAATATAAACAGCAGGAAAAATGTTTATATAACAAGATAACACTGTACTAACAAGGAGTAACAAGAAACTATATGTAGTCAGTGACAGCAAAATACATCATGTAATGCACAAGTACATAGGTAGTACAGAATAAGTAGTACAAAGACAAAGACTCTGGATTTCAATCTTCGTTTTGATGGCTCTTCTTCAAAAACTTCATCAAACTTTATAAAGCACTCATAATGTACAGAAGCCTACAAAGCAGTATATATAAGCAAAAAACCAATTATTGTATTAAATCAATCTCAGTTGGGCATCCGATCACCAGGTGATTTTGGGATCCCGATCTTAGTGCTCTCTTGGGGACATGTGGGGAAAGGTGGTCCCTTAGGTAAGTAGGTCCCTGACCATTTAGGGCTTTAAAGGTAAGAACCAGCACCTTGAACTGAATCCGGTATGCTATAGGCAACCAGTGCAGCGCTTTTAGGGTGGGCTGGATGTGTTCCCACACAGGAAGACACAGCAACAGCCTCGCCGCTGCGTTCTGCACCAGCTGCAGCTTCTGGATTTGAGACAAGGGCAGCCCCATGTAGAGAGCATTACAGTAATCCAGTCTTGAGGTGACCATTGCATGGATCACTGTTGCCAGGTCATTGCATTCAAGGAAGGGAACCAACTGCCTGATCAACTGTAGATAGTAAAAGGCTGACTTGGCAGTGGCTGCTACCTGAGCCTCCATCATTAGGGAGGCATCCAGGAGCAATCCCAAGCTCCTAACCTCCGGCGCTGGCACCAACGGCACCCCATTGAAGGTTGGGAGAGGGATCCCTAACCCTGTCCCACTCCGACTCAGGCACAGGACCTCTGTCTTTGTCGGATTCAATTTCAATCGACTCAGTCTTAACCAACCAGCCACGGTTTTCAACTCCAGATCCAGATCTCCCCGACTAGAGTCTGACTGGCTGTCCAACAACAGATAGAGCTGGGTGTCATCAGCATACTGGTGACAACCCAGTCCGTACCTCTGGGTAATCTGGGCAAGGGGGTGCATATAGATTAGTGGGTGCTTTCCGGATAGCTGTTCCCCAACTGCCACCCTTTGTCCCTGACCCTGCAGGAATGAGGAGAGCCACTGCAAGGCAAACCCCTGAATTCCGCTGTTGGTCAGTAGTTGATGGTCGACTGTGTTGAACGCCGCCGACAGGACTAACAACAACAACACTGCTGTACCGCCCTGATCCAGATGCCTCCGGAGATCATCTGTGAGGGTGACCAGGGTCGTCTGTGTCCCATGACCTGGTCGGAAGCTGGACTGGAAGGGATCTAGTATGGAGGCGTCATCCAAAAAACCCTGCAGCTGAATCGCCACCGCCCTCTCAATCAATTTGCCCAAATAGGGCAAATTGAATACCAGCCAGTAGTTGGCCAATTCCACCGGATCCACGGATGGTTTTTTTTAAAGAGGGGATGGCCCATTGTCTCCTTCAAAGCACCAGGGAGCAGTCCCTCAACGAGGGACTTGCTGATAATCTCCCTTAGTGCGCCTCATAACCCCTCACGGCCAGCTTTAATTAGCCATGATGGGCACGGGTCGAGGCTACAAGTGGTCGGGCGAACAGCTGAGAGTAGTTTGTCAACCTTCTCTAGGCTGAGTGGAATGAAATAATCCAGAACTTGACCAGAAGACGTGCATGGGGCCTCGAGTTCTGCTACTGTTTCAACTATGGCGGGGAGGTCATGGAGGAGCGACAGGACTTTATCTGCAAAATAGCTTGCAAAAGCCTCACAGCCAATTTCCAATTCCTTATCGTTTAGTCTGCCCTGTGGCAAAGTTGTAAGAGACCGAATTGTTCTAAATAATTGGGCTGGGTGAGAGCTTGCAGATGCAATCGTGGCCGCATAATATTCTCTTTTTGTGGCTTTGACTGCCATCTCATAGGATCTCATAAACTCCTATAAGATGCTCTTGATGCTCCATTGCGAGCGTGACACCACTGTCTCTCTAGCCATCTACTCTCCCGCTTCATCTCCCTCAGCTCCTGTGTATACCATGGAGTGAGTTTTGAGCGGGGGTGCAGAGGGCATCGAGGAGCTATCTCATCGATGGCCGCCGAGAGTTGGCTTTGCCAATCCTCGACAAGATCATCCAGCGAGCTGCCAGGGGGCATCGGATCCTGCAGGGCCATTTGGAACTGAATTGGGTCCATTTGGCTCCATGGGCAAGCTAAAATAGGCTCGCCACCCAAACAGGGTCTAGGCACACAGGCCTTTAGAACATGGTGGTCCAACCATGGAATGGCTGTAGCCATAATGCGGTCTACTATAACCCCCGCCTTGAAGATCAAATCAAGCGTGTGCTCAGCTTGGTGAGTGGGTGCTGTGACACATTGGGAGAGTCCTAGCGCCACCATGGACGACACCAGATCCATTGCCTGCGTGGAGGTCGCGTCATCGGCATGGACACTGAAGTCGCCCAGGACTCTTGTCCGAGAGAGCAGAGCAGTGTCATCAACATAAAGAAGAACTGGAATATTGCAGTTGGCTAAATGGGGTGGACAACAAAACTCATTAAAGAAAGTCAAAAGATCATTCATATATAGGTTGAACAAAAAAGGGGCCAAAAGTCAGCCCTGCCCAACCCCTTTATCTAGATTAAATGGTTCAGTCAGCTCGCTTCCATAGTCCAGTGGACCTGAGCTGTAAGGTCTGCATGAAGTTGCTGCATAGGATCCTTTTATCAATTATGGTGTGTCGCAGCATTTCCCAGAGTATCAAATATCCCTTTCAGCTCAATAAATCATATGTAAAGGCTGCCATTTGGGAAATTTGTGTATTTTTCTATCAGATGATACAGAACAAGATAATGGTCAAAGGTTGAACTACCCCTTCAGAACCCTATCTGCTCCTGGCCCAGAATATCACCCTGTTCAAGCCAATCAGTTAAGGCATCTAGCAAATATGAAGAGTGCAATTTGCCCAACCACGATAATAAACTGATTGGATGATTGCAGCTTGGGTCCGAGCGTTGACCCTTCAGAACTATTATTGTGTGCCTCCAAAATTTTGGGAAGACTCCAGACATGTTTATTTGCAAAAACATCAGAGCTAGGATCTCTGCCCACCAAGATGGATTTCATTTGGATAATTCATTTGGATAATTCATTTGGGATAAGTTTTGCTCCAGGGGCCTACCCTTAGTGGAGGCAGTGGATCAAGCCTTCAACTTGAGAAGGGGTCACCTCAGGTCAATTAGGAAGAGGGCCATCTGGTTCAAGTATCTCAGAAGTAAGAATTTCACTTAGAGTAACAAACAGGTTTTTAAAATATGACTCCCAGATCTCTGGATGAATATGAAAGGGATAGATAAGTGAGTTTAAAAGATGAAAAACTGATTTGACAAAATACATTTTAATGGTATATATTGTGATCCTTTAATCAGTGGTAAACTGTATCACCACACTTTATTGCTTCAAACCTTACTGCTGTATAAGGTTTCCTTGTTAATATAGTTGTATGAAACTGGGCAATGAAACTTTTTTTAAAATGTTAGATCACAAGTACTGTTCCCTCTAAGCTGAACTAGTGTGAGCTAGCTCACAGTTTTTTAGCCTACACCTCACACATTTTTGTCTTAGCTCAGAAAGAATAGCTCCAGAGCAAACTAATTTATGCAGTAGCCAAATTGTTTGCTCACAACTTTAATGCCAATAGCTCACAAAGTAGATTTTTTGCTCACAGGACTCCACAGCTTAGATGTTTAGATGTGCATATAAGTCACATGTGAAATCTTTCTCTCTTAGCCTGTACTGGGTTCATGATGTTCCTAGGTTCTGTAACTTATCTGTGGCACATTATACATATAATGAAATCAGGATTGGAGTAGCAGTTGGGAGCAAAAGTTTGAAATCTAAATAGACCTTTTAAAAATAAGTTTGAATGATCAGCTCCATGACTGCATTAAGTGTAGTTAAGTGTTGTTTGATGGCAGAATAATTATGTGCTTTTCCCTTGGTACTAAAATTATAATAACATGCAGCAAAATAGAAAGAAATTCAGGTTGCAATTTAGGTTGGGTTTTAAAAGGTGGTTCTTCTAAACTCCTGGTATAGGCATTAAATATTTTGATTTTTAAAAAAACAAGATTGAAGCTGAGGAAGGCTCCATTAGCTTTTATAAAAAGTTTCTGCATTCAGGTAGTTTGTTACCGGATAAGCCATATGTATGTCTAGTCATTCACTGTAGACATGAAGCCACAAAATACTGTTCTTTTTCTTGGTGGTCTTTACTTTGTGTATGCAGTCAGATTTCCAAGCAATGATATTGTCATTGACGTGCTTTCTGAGGAGGCAAGAATGTCGTCATTAGTGGCGTTGATCATAAAATAACAAATCCTGTCAATAATCTATCTATCATACTAATGTTATTAACAATCTGTTACTTCTTATATTTGTTTCGTAGAATCACTATTTACTGTATATGTCAATTAGAGTTATTTAAGTTTGAAGATCGAAACTAGACAAAAGGCTTTATATATATACATATATATGTACACACACATATTTTAAATATTTTACAGAAAGCTGTAGAAGAACCACTAAATGGTAGGTAATTATTGAAAATTTTACTGTGTTTCAGGGACTTGGCTTTGATTTCTAAACCAGGCCAGTGACTCACTGTTGATCTTGCTTAAACATAAATATATATATATATATTAAAAAATGAAATGATCCATGATCTTGTGTCACTGGATGTTTATTGATCTCTTACTGGTAGCTTTAGGCATTTGGAGATCCCTAGTGGTGGATTTAGGGTATCAGTAGCATAGTGGTTTTTTATAAGTTTCTTGGCCAAATGGATGTTTCTCGTAGAATATAGATATTAAAACTGTCTTCTGCATGGGGTACTAATGTTGAAATTTCTATCTGCATGGGAAGCATGGCTGTTGTTAGGCTACACTCTTCTTTTTTGTAATATTTTTGGGTGTCTTAGTTCCTAATTTGATCCATCTTGAGAAAAAAAATCCACTTAAGGTGATATAAAAGCAGAACAGTCGCTGGTTATACTTGAACTGGGGAGACACATCAGTAATGACCCTCTAATTACTTTCACATTACTAAATGAAATTCTGGCATGCTGGAAAGTAGTCTTAAAACTAATCTGTGCTAACATTATGGAAGCTAAGCTGTTTCTAAGTGTTTGTTTGTTTATCTAACTACTAACCTTTGCTTGGTTTTTCAAAGATGCAAAAGGAGTAATGTTAGAATGATGGTGAGTGCTTTTATTTATTGATCACATTTTTTTCAATAGGTGCTTTAGATTTTTTGTTATTTTTAATAAACTGTGAGTACATGATAATGGTGTGGTACTTGTACAGTTCCCATCCCATTGAGACAAATCTTGTTTATTTCATCATAAAATTGGCCCTGTAGTCAAAATTTACTGATATAAATTGCAACAATTCTTTTGCTTGGAATGGCAATATCCCACACTTTTCATACTTGAGTTGCATGCTGAATTTTATTGCTGCTACTAAGAGTTTGCAAATTAATTTGCTGGGGCTAATGTCCCTCATCCTCAGGTAATGAAATATGCCCAGTAGCACAAAAATTAACACACAGGCATACATACCAAGTTCTTTGTGAATTGCTGAGCCCCAATTTAAGAGAAGGGATGTGTGCTGTTTTTGCCTGTTTCAAAGCCATAGATAACATAAGGAAACCTATCCCTTCCTCCGGGTTTCTTGGTACACTCAGAGGAATGGGTTTTCAACCACTGAAAAACTTGCACTGAAAACTCTTTTATTAGATCTCATTGAATCTGTCCAGTAGGCCATTAATATACCTACATATTGATTGAGGGCCAGCATAGCATAGTAGTTAAAGTGTTGGCCAAGGATCTGGGGAACCCAGGTTTGAATCCTCATGCTGCTATGGAAGCTTGCTGGGTGACCTTGGCCCACTCACATGCTTTCAGCATAACCTACCTCACAGGGTTGTTGTGAGGATGAAACAGAGGAGAGGAGAAACATGTAAGCCACTGTGGGTCCCTATTGGGAAAGAAGGGCGGGATATAAGTAAATAAATCTAGGAATACATCTTTGGTTTATGCTTTTAACAGTTGTATATCACCTTGAGTGCCTTATGGTAGAGAGTGCAATTGATAAATGAATTAATAAAACCAAAAATCACATAATGCAATCACATAATGCAAAGAAAATTTACTGGTTTTCTTATTATTCTACTAAAAGAATAGTGGAAAATAATGAAATAATCAAATTTAATTCATTTAATGATTTGTTATTTACCTAATACTTCATTAACTTTTGTTTCACTACCCCATTATGAAAAGTCTAGATTAATTAATCCTACACTGAAATCTAACTAGCAAGTAATTAGATTTTAGTCATTCAAGGAATTCATCAATGAGGTAATTCTGAATAGTTCATCAGCTTGATCTATAGTCAACTTCCTGTACTAGATTCTGTTGGAAGGTAATTGAAATTTGTGATTCTAAATTTGCAGCCTGCTCCCAATGCAGTAAAAGTAGAAATACTTTGTATGGGATCCACAGGAACATATGCTGACTTCCACTTGAAAGCCCTTTTCTTTCTCCAGGGTAGCCTCTTGTATTTCCTGAAAAGCTTTATTTGCAGGTTAGTGGATCCTCTGGAGGATTACATGTGAAGGTTTCAGTCAGAAGTTGAAAATGGAAATATCTCTGTGCTCATGTGAAAGACACAGGGCCAATATGCTTACTATTTCCTGGAAAATAGTTGATGTGTCTTCAGTTGCTTGTGCACCCTATTGCTTCTGTTACAGCCCATGCCAGTGAGCCAGTGCCTTTGTGCACCGTTCTTTGGCATGTTATCACTCTTATATCTTACCCTTCCTCCAGAGTGTCCATCATACTTGAGGTTATCCACTTTTATCCCTCTAAAAAATCTTGTGATGCAAGATTGTACCTTGTTGAAGGCCTCAGTATGCTTCATGGCTGAATGGTGAATGCAGTCCCAATGCAAGTGAAAGCTTTACCAGGCTATGCAGAATGCAGATATTGCAAGAAATAAGAATATTTTTTTGTTTACTGGTCAAGCATTGGAAAGACATGCCATTGTGGCCTAGTTAACATCTGTGTAGATGGAATGTTGACTCCAGAGCCAAGGGACAAGTCATCACACATCCCATTAAAATGGAAGTTTTAGTGTATAACCATACCTGGTGCATTTGTTAAGATTATCAGATTGGGGACGTTTCCTGTTTTATTGTCTTAGTTTATACAATGCAGTTCTATGAAATATAGTTTAATGACTGGCTAGATTTTCAGGTATTTTATAACAGCAGTGGAAATTTAGTTATGATATTCTACTAATCTTTTTCTGGTTTTCAAATCATTTCATTAAGCTCATGAATCATTTACTCACTTGGATTATATCAGTGCAAAATGAAAAGATTCGCTGGCTGGGGCAGTAAATGGTGTTACAACTGTAATCAAGCAGAACAAGTAAAAGGAACAGGACTCTTCTACCTTAGCAGTAATTTACTACAGCATAGAACAAATTTAGAGTCCAGAGGCACCTTTAAAACCAACAAAGGTTTTTTTTAAGAATGCAAAAATGGTACTTAACCATATATGAAAAAAGTAAATATATTTTTGTTTGCATTTGTTAACAAGAGGCAGAGGGATGATCTCAGTCGTGTATTAATTTGTGTTTTAATTATATATGTAAAATAACATTCATAATCTACTAACAGGTTTGGGGGTTAATGTGGTTGTGATCATCAGCTGATACAGTTCCTGTGCTGTGTGGCGTTTTTCATCAGTTTTGGAATAATAATTTAGTAGAATAATTTTAGAAGTTTTTTAAAAAAGCAATGCAGATTTAAGAGCATGATTCTAACGAATATTTCTGTTTCAATTTTCTAGCACGTGATGTGAGTTAATTGAATCTGATATGGACATGGAAACAAGTGGAGAGAGACTTTTGTTCATACACCGTGGCCTTGATGATGCACTACTCAAAGAAAAAAGAAATCAGGAAATTAGTTGTTTTGCATGTGTGGAAAAGTGCTGTAATGATTTACATGATGTAATTTTATAGTCACAGCAGCTGTAGTAAAGTTCAAAAGAGAAGTGAGTGTTGTATGCACGTGAGCTGTTTTCCTTTGGGGGGTGGACAAGGGCAAGAATACAAAAGACTCTTTTTATCCACTGTAATAGGTCTCTTTAGTGCTGCACTTCTCAGAATGGTGTTGACTGCCACTTTACATAAAGACCAAAACTTCTTAATAAAGGATCACTTTCAGATAACACAATATTGCGAGTTTGCTGCCTTCTGCTCTGGGCCAATTTTTGTGCCACTGTACAGCAGCTGTTTCCCATACAGAGTGGCACTTCCAGCCTCAGATTGCAGTAAAAGTTGCATAGCAGCAATGCCAGAGGGATGGGGAGAGATTTCTTGGGGACTATTTGCTCTGTTCTTTCCCCCAAAATACCTTTCCAGGGCCAGTTAATTTCCTGCTCCACTTATAATGCCTAACCAATATTTTCAGGTACTCTGAACATTGGCCAGCATCAGCCTTATGCTTAGCAAAGGTCAAGCTAAGTTAGTATTGGTACGTCTGAAAGAACCTTAATCTCATGGGCCAGACTTCTATGGGACCATTTACGTAAATCTTTGTACTGCATGATAAATGAATTGCTAGTGTTTTCTCTTTGATTTTACTCACTGTCCTTTAGAAACCAATCCAGACCCAACCTATCTTTGACATTTTTATGACAAATGCAGAAATAGCATTAGAATAAGAGAACTATTTATATAAGCTGTGTTCATACCTGTATGGTGTGAATAGCTACGGATGTAATACAGGGTGAACTGATACCGTTCCTACTATAACATTTTTACAAAACTATGGTACTTAGCCTTTTCTAAGAGAGATCTTGATTTCCAGTTCTTTCAGATTATCACAAAAGTCCCTATTCACCCACTTGCTGCTAGTATTCCTGCTGTATATAGTGTAATTCTGTGTGTGCTTCGGTGAACAGTTTTTAGTCCAAGTAACTTCCTCTTTTTTCCTATTATTTAAATAAAATAAACTTTAAACTAAGGGCCAAGTCAATGTTAAATCTAATTTACATAAAGCGGTGAAACATCCAATAAGACTTCTGCTAATTAAAGCATCTCTCATTCCCTACAGTTTGCAGCTACCAAAAATATATACACTGAAATAAGAGCTGTACTCTGTCAGACCATTGGCTCTCAGCCTTTCAAATTAGACTACAGTTCTTAAATTGAAACCACAGTCTCTGTGATCTTGCCTTTTGTGTTATTTACATGTGAATTATGTAAGAGGAATTCTGTTCCTATGCTTGTGTAGTTCTTACAGATGTTAAAATATTGGCCCTTTTGAAACTGCCTTTGTATTCCGTTTTAGTAACTGGTTGTTAATGGATTTTTTCTGTCATTTCAGACAGACCCATTTTAGTAACTAGCTGCTAGCGGAATTTATTTACTTGTCATACAAACCCACTTGCGTCGGGTCAGTAAAGCATGGTTGAGCCGCTTTTGAGGGAAACTGCTTTCTTTCTGTTTTCTACCCCTTCGTTGCGTTTCTGAATTGCTGTGGTGTGCTGTTTAAAATGTCCATAGTGCTTCCTACAGTGCCGCTTTCCCCCCTGCCCTTTTTTGCTGCATGATCTTCCTCAAACTTTTTTTTGAACATTCTAAGTTGAGTGCTGTAGGACTAAACCAATATAGCCCTTCAGTGCTATAGTGGCACCATTCAGATGCCTTGTCTCCATTGACTCAATTGAGTTAGTGGAGTCAAGGCATCCCAAGTACTGTATTTATACAGTGTGGTTGCGGCTGTTGTTACCTGGAAACAAGAGGAGAGAAGTAGCTCATTGGGCAGTGGGTGCTCAGGGCATCACTGTTTGGTGTGACAGACATTGCTAACCTGAGAAGGTGTCTGTAGCAAACATCCTGATGTTCACCAATCCATGCAGCCCATCAATGCCCAGATGGAATTGACTGGTAAGTGACTAGTTGCCAAGTTACTTCAGTAACAATATAGCACTCGAGATGCCTTGACTCCATTGACTTGGCGTCAATGGTGTCAAGGCATCTCAATGGTGCTGTTATAGCACTGAAGTGCTATATTGGTTTAGTGCTATAGCATTCAACTTAGAACATTTAAAGAAAGTCTGAGGAAGATTGCATGGCAAAAAAAGCGGCACTGTTTGAAATGACCATAGCTCATTAACAGAAGGAAATTCACTATATGAAAACCCCATACCTGTATCACCTTACTCAAAATCAGGCCAACAATGAATAACATCCACTTTAGAATGGTAATGTGAAAAGGGCCAGTCTGTATAGAGTCTGTTCTGCATTTATACATCCTGCAAAAAAGTTGCCTGCCCCTCCTGCCACTTTTCTAATGAGAGTTTTGTGGTAGCAATTGTTTTTTCCCCTTCATTCTATTGTTCTGAACCATATCTTGTAGTTATCTCCCTTTTGTAAATTTGGGTCAGATTCATGGAATGCTGTTCTTTTTAAGAATCATCAAGGGCACTCAGCCTTTTGATAGCATTCCAGAGCAGTCTGACAGTCTGGATTTTTCCTATCAGAACTTTTATTGTGTTTTACTAGTCAGTCACATCACATCTCTAAAGGCTTTTTATAATTTTAAACTAGCAAGCTATTTGTTCCCAGCAAGCTAGTTGTTCTTCCTTTCTTCACCATGTGTGTGCCAGCAAAAACAACAAAACAGACAGCTTGCTTTTTTGGGGTTTCTTTGGTGCAAAAGACAACTCTTCAACTACTACATGGTTATGCAACCTTTTGAGCCCAGTAGTGCATGAATAACAGTTTGATTTGATGAGGTTATCCAGTTTTATCCTTACAGATGTTTTGGTACAGCTTGGCTCCCATTCTTAGGATATTAGATTCTTAGAGGTCTGAATATCACATACTTTTTCCTGATTATTTTTAGACTGGATAGAATAGTTAATGGCTCATATTTCTGCTGTGCGTTCCAAATGATTGCTGAGCCCTGGAGTATGCTGCAGTTCAGTCCACTAAAAACAACTAAACAGGGTAGGGGCAGATGGATTGAAAGCTTAATTCATGAGTATTCTTGAATAATGTGAGATACAGATTTTTGACTCTCTTAATAATTGAAGCATACAGAAATATTCAAGAGTATTTATACAAACATGGCACGGGTAGGTGTCAGATGTACATTGGTTTCAGTACTTTAAAAGTTTGGGATCTTGGATAGCTCTGTCATTTGTATGTGCATTGGTGAGGGTAAGGTCATCACCACCCTGAATACAAGCAGAATTCATGGTATCATATGAGTTGGTAATCTGTCAAAATGTTCCATAGCATTGTAGCAGATCTAGTTCTTCACCACTGTATCTCATTTCTGGAATATGGGGAAGATGAAGAGTCACCTGCTTTCATGAGATGACCATATGAAATTGAAATCCATTTATTCTGTTTGCCTTGCAGAGTTATATGATTTTATTTAAAACTTTATATTAAGGAAAGCTGCAGAAAAACAATTGTATATCCCTAATTGTGAAGCAAAGTTCTTTTATATAAGCAGAATATTATCAAGGCTTACAGAAAGTCTTGGATTTTGCACATGCCCTTTGGAAATAGTTACAGTATATAAAAGGGCTCTGCTAAAGATTTCCTGTTGGTGCCATTAAAAAAGTAGTTCTAGCTTTCCTAAAACTGTCATTTATTTTCCCTAATGTTTTAAGAAGCCAAAGTGGTTATGGTTGTGCTAATGATCTCGTGGATTCCGTTTTTGTATAGATACAAAGCCAAATTTCTCATTATTTGATCATTTGGAAAAATCTTCCTTTCTTAACCTAGTGTTTTTATTTATTGAACATAGCTTTGTAAATAGAACTATAATTTAAATAAAACTGTTTTAAATGTTTTGTGTTTCTGCTTGAGTCAGCACAGCTCCTAACAATAATTTCAAGGTTTGCTACACTGCTTTTCCATCACAGTAACCCCACAAAATATTATAAATTGCTACACAGTTCCATTTTTACATTGTGCATAATAATACCCACTTTTTATTGAAAATGTAAAACCATTAAAACAGAAAAGGTCAGTAATACAGTGTTGTGGTTAATGTTTGAGTATTCAATGCTAGTTTAAATTACTGTATAACATTAAATGGTTTAAAAATTCAAATGATGCATAAAAATAAACCTTAAAATATTACATTTCTGGGAGTTACAAGCATCAATGTAAATTTGATGGAAATGAACTTTATCAAGTGTAAAATGTGCTGCATTTCTCACTATGGGAGTATGTTTCTGTGTACTTAAAGCTGTTGAAATGTGTGTAATACACGCTTCACATTTTCATTGAAGTCACATATAGTATATCCCTAGTTTTTAAAAAATTGAGAAAATTCAGCATTTGCAGGGTTCAAGGAGGGACAGAGGGAGAGGCATTGGAAGGAATACACACACACACAACCATTTTTGGTAAAAACATCGCTGCAGCTTATTTTATTAGTACAGACAAAGGATCAATGGCGCAGCACAGGGATGGATTCAAGCTTCGGGCAACCTGCCTGTAGCCTAATGAACCCATTCCCATGCCTACCTGCTGGGGACCAACCGGGGAGTGACAAGATACTGGTACACATGTGGGCGCCAGCATCTACATGTTGGTGGAAGACAGCCGGCAGACTCTGCCTGGGCATGTGGCTCCACACACCCAAGGCCCCTTATGGGAACCCCCAAAATGGGGAAGGTGAGCACACAGGCATGGCCTCCCCTCAAAGGATCTGTCCCAATGCCCAAACTGCTAAACTGTGACAGCAAGGAGCAGAATAAGACAAAATATACACCTACACCAAGATACGAGGGATGGTGGGTGGGTAATCCAGCAAGCTGAAAACACAGAGGCCAATGATTCGCACAGACCTGCTTAAATTCCCCCACAATTTACAGACCACACCCATGCTATGACTCACAGCCTATCAAGTATTTATTTTATTTTCAAAATTTGTATGCTGTCTTTTTGCCCAGTGAGGGCTATTGAGGTGGCTACTGATTGGTACTGGCACCAATATAGATTTTTCCAGATGAGCAAGACAGTTTCTCTAATTCCTCATGGAGTGGGGGCACCTGGTATCAAATATGTATTAAGTAATCTGCAGGTTAGTCTGGGAATATTTCTGCTTGCAGCCAGTTACTGTTTATATGATTATTTTAACACACTGAGAAGTTCCCTGCAGATGTGACTCAGAATAGTCATGTACGAGTTAAGCAGCAATCAGTCTGAGTTAACATGAATCTGTTTCAGCATAGTAGAGCATTAGCCCATTCTCTGTCCATTGTAGAATACTATTGGACAATATAGCTTAATAGTATATTCTATTTGTTTCTGTTAGACCTTCCACAGAAAATGTGTACCTCCTGAACTAGAGTCAACTTGCTATTCAAACAATCTGTCAACAAAGTATCAGACAAAATCATTAGATATAACTCTTAAAATATATTTGGAATTCTTTTGAAGATGAGAGCAGGGAACTGCAACATTCAAAGTTAAAATGGGGGATTGCAAGAAGTGTCTTCGTGACTCCAAATATTTATAATACTTATTTCCAAGACCAGTGCAGAATTCAGTATTTGCTCCACCTGGTTTCATTAAGAACCAAAAAAGATTAATTGGATAAAAAATAAGGGGCCTAATATTCATTAAGTATAAAATGTCAATCTCTCCTTATATATAAAAAAAGACTTTTCGTGTCCCACTTTCCTCAACGTTCCACATGCTCCCACAGCCTTTCGCCTGCTCGGCTGCCCATCTTGCAGACTCCCAATCCCCTGGCTGCATTGCCTAGCTGTGTTGGCTTGGCCCCGCCCACAAAGCCAGCAGCCAGCATATCACTCTCAGTCTGGAGGGAGCCGGCGAAGGGGATGGACACTCCGCTGAGGGAGTAGCAACCCCTCCACAGGGGAGAAGGAGGCAGACCTAGTGAGCGGCAGCAAGCAGGGGAAGCACTCACCTTCACTGCCCCTCTCTCCTTATATATAAAAAAAGACTTTTCGTGTCCCACTTTCCTCAACGTTCCACATGCTCCCACAGCCTTTCGCCTGCTCGGCTGCCCATCTTGCAGACTCCCAATCCCCTGGCTGCATTGCCTAGCTGTGTTGGCTTGGCCCCGCCCACAAAGCCAGCAGCCAGCATATCACTCTCAGTCTGGAGGGAGCCGGCGAAGGGGATGGACACTCCGCTGAGGGAGTAGCAACCCCTCCACAGGGGAGAAGGAGGCAGACCTAGTGAGCGGCAGCAAGCAGGGGAAGCACTCACCTTCACTGCCCCTCTCCCTCGGCCACAAGGCCAGCACTTTGTTCAGGCGGTAGCTCAGCGGAATGTACCGCAGAGAAAGCTGCCCAGCACCTTTCAAAGGCTCCCTCACCTTTCTTCAGCAG